TGGGGCTGTACGGCCTCTTGGATGAAAGTATTCTCTGCACCTCAAATGTGGTTTTATGCTCTGCTTGCAACAGCTCTTTGAAAAATAATAGTAGCTCACAGATGTTCATTACAGTGTTATTTATAGTAGTCCAAGAAGAGTTATTTTTCATGGCAATCCCCAAGGTCCAAAGGTAGGAAGTGCTCAAGAAATGCGTAAGTTAGAGGCTTGGAGACCCCACTCCTCCTGCTCTCCAATGCTCCCTTTTGTGGTAGTGGGGTAAACGCCTCACCACCCATAAAGAGGACAGAGGAGGGGGGCAAGAGCCATAGGGCCCCCAGAACCTGTGAGTTCCAAAGGACCTTTCACACTGGCAGTGGTCCTACTGCTTGGAATGCTTCTGCACAACAGAGAGGGGTGTAAGGGTGGCCACCACAGAGTGGTGCATTGAAAGTTGCCATAATGTCCACCCATTGAGGGAGGCTGAAAAAACTACGATGGATACACATGGTTTCTACACAGCCATATTAAGAATGTCGTAGAACAACAGCCTTTTCTAGGCAATGCTTCCTCCACAGATCTAAGCCTCAAGAGGATCCCTCCAGGAATTTCACAGTGAAATATGTGCAGGAAATGCCAGTCTCCTCTTTGATGATTCAGAATGCACATTACTAAATTAAAGACTCTGTGAGGTCCTCCAGGAAAGAAGCCCATGTACGTTGGCATAAGCCAGGGTGTCCCAAATAGGTGGGGAAGGACTGCCCTGTTAATAGCAACTGGCCCTGGCGTTCTGTGGGACCAGATTGGGGAGCACTGCACAGCAGACTCAAGGCGAGAGAGCAGAGCAAAAACCTCAGGTTCCAAGTCTCTGCAGCACAATTTAACCCAACACACTACCTGTGTATATGTTTGTATTTGAAAAGTTCTAGCAGGATGCATCTCAGAACTTCCATGGTGGCTGGGGTGGGGGGAATAGAGGTGATTTTTATTTCATCTTTCTTTGTTTTCATCTTTTAGCTCATTTGGGTTTTCTAAACCGCCTTTCATTACCATGTTTAACTTTCAGAATGAGTAAAGTAAAAAACTGCTAAGAAAGGGGTTGAGGGACTGCTGAAAGCTCGTCCTCAGCGCTGCTGCCCAGGAGGAGTTGGGGCCTCCTGCTCCCTGGCCGGCGGAGAGGCCAGGTCCTTATTTAGGCAGAGACATCCCGAGCTCGCATTCCAGTGGGAATCCTTCCCAGCGCATTCCTCCTGCAGCACCGCGGCGTCCAGCTGCACCCTCGCAGGGCCTCCCTCTCCTTTGGTAGCCGCCGTCCTCGCCGGCCCAAGCCCAGGCCCGCCGCACATCTGGACCTCGTTAGGGGCCGCCAGCACCAAAGCCGGCACATCTGGCCGCCGCGAGGCGGAGTGCGCGGCAGGGCAGCAAAGGGGAAGGGGCACGTCAGGACAGGGCGGCCGGGCGCTCCGCTCCGAGGCGTCTGGAAGTGGGGAGGTGGTGGGCGGCCGGCCGCAGACAGGCAGACAGGCAGACAGTGCACACTGCCTGCAGGGCCAGGCAATCCCAGGCACTCCAGGGAGTCCAGCAGAGTAGCCCCCTCGCTGGCAGGGGAGCCTGAGGCCTCAGAGGCCTCCCAGGATGAGGGGTTTAGGCCTGCAAGAAGCAGGGATTCTGGATTCCAGGCATGGTGCTTTTGCCCTCAGGGAGGCCTGGGGGCCTGCCAGGATGGGAAGCAGAAAGCAGCTACAGGGTGGCTGCAGAGAAGAAATGGACAGAAACAGGGTGCCTAGGCTTGAGGGTGTGGACTTTTGGGGCTGCAGGTTAGGAGTCAGGGTCTTCTGTGTCAGACAGAGAATACTCCTATTTGATATGAGAAAGAACAGAAGGGCAACAAGGCATGCTGGAAACGGAGCATTCCCAAGGCCTTTTCCTCACACCTGCAAGCCCAGGCCCCCTGCTCTCCCCTGTGGTGCCATTATTCGCCCCCTGTGCAGCCTGTTCCTCTAAGGCTTTAGCAGCCTTGCCCATTCTTTCCTTGAGGCATCAGCAGATGCTCCTGAAAACAGTCAACAAAAAGTACAGCCTATGGACTCAGCCCTCGCCTCTCCTCTTTGTCCTGCTGCCTCAGACCTTGCTGGCTCCATCCTGGAAGGCCTGTGCTATCACAGGAACCCACAGATTGCCTGCCTCCTCCCCACCCACTAGCCCCACCCTGCAGCAAGTGGCTTACGCACGGGCCCACACAGCCACCCTAGCGCCCTCGGAAGAACCCTCCGAAAGGCCTAGTGGGGGCCAGCTGTGAAAGTGGAAGCCAAGGACAAGGGCAGAAAGCTCAGGACTTCAACTCAACAGACGGTTCAAAATCCCACCGGTTACCCACTCTCAGCACCAGTTCCTCACCTGAAAGATGAGGGTAATTTTTTTTAAAGGACTGTTTTAAGCTGTCTGATAGAAATATGCAGTAACAGACCCTGGCTGTTGTGGCTCAGTGGATTGAGTCCCAGCCTGTGAACTGAAAGTTCTCCAGTTCAATTCCCAGTCAGGGCACATGCCTGGGTTGCAGGGACAGTTGGGGGTGTGCAAGGGGCAATAGCTCATCGATGTTTCTCTCCTTCCCTTGTCCTCTCTTTAAAAATAAATAAAATCTTTTTAAAAAATAAATATACAATAATAGTATTATATATTTCCCCAATAGAAATATAATGTAATTATAAATTAATGTGGGGGATTTTACATTTCTCATTCTGGAATCATTTTAGATTTATAGGAAAGTTGCAAAGATTGTTTGGTAAGTTCCAGTAACCCCTTCACCCGGCTTCTCCTGAGGTTAGCATCTTGCGTAACCAAGGTACATTTGCCAAAACTAGAAGATTAACATTGACACAACATTATCAACCAATGGACTTTATTTAGATTTCACCAATTTTCCCAGAACATTTGTAATTTAAAATTTTCTACTAGCTACATTAAAAAGTAAAATGAAACAAGTAAGATTGATTTTAATAATATATTTGAACTCAATATGTCCAAAATATTGTCCTGTCAGCATTCATCAATATAAAATACACTATGAATGAGATTTTTACATTTTGCTATATTAAGTTTTTGAAATCAGTGTGGATTTTACTCACAGCACATCTCAGTTTGGACACTAAATTTTCACTGGAAATTATTTTTTTAGCATTGGAAATTCTTGATCTGTAGTTAGATTTCTACAAAGCAATAGATTTACATACTCAAGTTGTCCTAAACATATTTAAAAGTTTTCTAATGACTGAATTGAGTATAAATTTTAAAATTTTATATTAAATTAAATTAAAAATTCAGTTCCTCAGTGGTACTAGCCACTTTTCAAATGCTGCACATGGCTAGTGGCTACATCCCGGACAGCTCAGATTGGAAGGATTAAAAGAGATCACTTATTCCCTTGCCAGCGTGGCTCGGTGGGCTGGGCGTCGTCCAGAAAAGGAAAAGGTCGCTGGTGCAATTTCTGATCAGGGCACATGCCTCGGTTGCCGGTTAGTCCCCCATCAATCAGGGTGTGGGACAGGGCTCTAACGTTATCATTAAAGCTTAGAGTTGCTGCTGGTAAAATTAATTTCCAATCATGTTATGGAGACTCTTGCACCCATTTACTGCCAGAGGTAATGGAAGGAAGCAGGGAAAGGTACTGGTCTGGGGAGAGAGGACAAGGGGAGGGGGCCAGATCCTTCTTAGCCCAGCCACGTTCGGGAGACTCCTCCCGCTCCATCAGCCCCTCCCCCATCTCGCATTCAGTGCTTTGGGCAGTCGTCAGAGCAGCGACCTCTGTTCGCAGGTGAGAAAACTGAGACTCCAGACAGCTGAGTTAAGAGAAATGCAGGAGCTTTGAGTTCCTACCTGGCCACCTTGTCTCATTGTGAGGTCTGGGTGCTTTTTCCCTTCCTGGGCCTCAGTTTCCCCGAATGTGTTAAGTAAATGAGATGGAAGTTGGTTTGGGTTACTGGGTCCATCTAGGGCAATGCAGAATTATTCAAATAGGGAACATTTGGCTAGCCCTCACTTCTCAGAATTCACCCAATTCTGATTTGTTATAAATAAATAGATAAAGAGAAAGAGAACTTATTATTCTATTCACAGTGGGGGCGGGGGGACCTGCCATGTAGTTAGTAATATTTTTCTCCACAGATTGGGACACCCTCTCCCAGTCGTGAGGTGCCTAGGAAACCTAATTAATTATGGACTTATGGGGCGCCACTTGTGCTAATATAGAATCAGGGCCGAGGGAGCTGGGTGTCTCAGGGGATATTTATAACGAGCTGAGGCAGTCTGGTGAGTCACTGCTCTGTTCTCCAAGAGGACACACCTGCCTCGCCTCCCAGGAGTGGGGGGCTGTTGCTCTCTGGTCAGGCCCCCTTCCCTTACAGGGCGAGGACACACACACACACACACACACACACACACACTGGGGAGCGCTGCCCTGCCCTGGGCTCCCCTGGGACACTGATTAATACAGCCCATCCCCCCGTTCCAGTATCATTTCCCAACAGCCTCCCACTTCCCAGACTGAGGCTGCCCTGTCCGCCAATGGTGCTGCAGACTCGTCGTTCCCTGGGAACATCTCATTCCAGAGGGATTCCTTCTGGGAAGGTTTACTACGGTCAAGCCCAGCTGTGCAGCTGGACTCTTGAGCAGCCTCTAGCAGGGCCAGCTCTTCCGGGAAGCAGAGAGGCAAAAGCAGAAAGGGGAGGGGAGCAAACCTTCATCGAGCCCCTACTCTGTGCCAAGCCCTAGACAGGGCGCTCGGCATCCCTGAGCTCCCTGAAGTGTCACCATAAGCTGTGTAGTGGGTCCATCACCCACACTTTATGAGCCGGGAAACTGAGACGCGGAGAAAAGTAGCTGGGAAGGAGCACACAGCTAGGAAGGGCTAGAGCCAGGGTTCCCACTCAGGCCTGCTTAACTCCAAAAACTCTTTTCTGTTTGTTTATTTTTTAGAAAATATTTTATTTATTTATTTTTAGAGAGAGGGAAAAGGAGGGACAAGGAGAGGGAGAGGAACCAACTGGGGACTGGCCTGCAACCCAGGCATGTGCCCTGACTGGGAATTGGACCAGCAACCTTTCCGTCCCCGGGACAGCACTCACCCATTGAGCCACACCAGCCAGGGACAAAACTCTTGTTTTTATAAGATCATCTCAAGCTATCAGAGTAGTGGTACAAAACACACACACACACACACACACACACACACACACACATATATACGTGTACTATGTTCACTTAACTCTCAAAATATTGAGGGTGGATCCAAACAGAAAAAGATGAAAGATCTCAGAAATAATAGTCAGAATTGATAGAGGACCAATCCCGACTCTCTGGGGCTTACAAGAAGTACATCTAAAACATAACAAGAATTCAGAAAGGTGGAGGACAGAGCCAGAGTCTGAACTGGGGATCTCGGAGGCTGCAGGATGCGCTCTCCCCTCGGCCTCCGCTGTGCCGAGTGGGCTCTCACCGAGGACGTGACTGAATGGAAGGCACTCTGACACCAGCACCAGATGATTCTCCCATGCGACCCTGGACATTCTCAGGCGACCTCAGTGTCCTCCTCTGTAAAATGAAACAATAATTCATACCTCATAGGGGTGTTATAAGAGCTAGAGACATGTTTGTGGCACCCACTGCACAGTAAAACATTAATTATGTTTATTTTTGTTGGTGTTTTACATGTGCCTGGTGTGATCTGTAAGACTGTATGGGCTGTCGCTGGCAGTCCGATAGACTATTAAACTCTTTTTCTTGTCTGTGTTTGGAGTAGGTGGAGTGTGGGGGGTGGGAGTGGGGGTGAGTCCCCTCTACCTTCCAGGGTGGAAAATCCCAGGGGTGCCCCTTGGAAAAGCCAAGGGGTGGCTCCAAGGTGACTCTTCCTATTTGTCTGCCAGCCTGACCAATCTGTCACCCAGTCTTCCATTAGGTCACACTCCTGCTCGGACTCTAACCTTGATGACTTCCTGCTGTCCGTGTGTCAGGGTCTCTCCTGCTTTCAAGGCCTCTGATGGCGTGCTTTCTGCCCTCTCCTCTGCCTGTGGATTCGCCCCTGCCGGTGAGCACCCACTTGCCCCTCCCAGCCCGGCAGGCTCTCCCCACTGTCCCACCAGGGCTGCCACTCCTCCTTTGTCATCCAGGCTCACATTCCCTTGTCTGTAATTCTGAACTCCAAACACTCTAAAAACCAGACTTTTAAAAATAAGTTGGATATAAACTCATTTGGCCACAAATCTGGTCTGCTCTGATGTAAGGTTATTTAAAGTCTTTATTATGTCTCACGCTGCTCATACATTTTGCCACAGAAACTTTGCTGTGCCTAATTAAGGGCGCTGCCCCAGACCCCGCTGGGGTGTCCTGTCGTGTCAGCACACGCATGTTGTGACTGTTCTGAAAGACAGAAAGCTCTGCAAACCCACAGGCGTCTGACCTCAGGGCTTCGGGCAAGGGCCTGCGCCTGCAGTCACAACAGCCTAAGGCCCGCCCTGTGCAGGCCCTGGAGGTCCTCATCGCCCACCCTACTTGCAACCTTGGAAGGTGAACATTAGCCCCTCCAGTTTACAAATGAGGCCAAAGAACAGACAGCCGGGAAAGTGGCCAGGCCCTTCTGAGGGCCCAGCTTCCTGCTCTCCATCTCTCCTCGGTACCAAGTTCCTCTCCTGTCCTCATGCACTACCCCCCTACTCCCCCATCCTCTGTCCCTCTGACACCCCTGGGACATGTGAGCACAAGAGTGCCTTATCTGGCAGTATTTATTCAGGGCTTCTCAATGTGCACGCAAAATCTGAAGATACTGGTTCAGACTTAATAGTCCTGGGGGTGGTACTCTGTATTGCTGACAAGCTCCCAGTTGCTGTCAGGCCCCACCTTGAGGAGTAAGGGGCTAGAGACAAGTGGAGATACAGCGTTGAATAAGACTCAATCCCTGCCCTGACCAGCATGGCTCAGTTGGTTGGTGTGTTGTCCCGTACACGGGAAGGTTGCGGGTTCGATCCCCAGTCATGGCACATACCTAGGTTGTAGGTTCAATCCCAGGTTGGGACACCTATGGGAGGCAACCAGTCAATGTTTCTCTCTTCCTTCCCCTCTCACTCTCCCTTCTTCTCTCTCTAAAATTGATACAAATATATATATTTTAAAAAAGACTCAATCCCTTTTGTCATCACTCTCATGTACAAGAGCTCTCTGTGTACCTGAGCCAGAGGTGGGTGCAATTACTATCCTCATTTGACAGATGAAGAAACAAGCACAGAGAGGTTAACTAACTTGGCCAAGGTCACACAGCTCACAAGGCACAGAGCCAGGACTTCAACCTGGTGAGCCTGGCTCCGAGAGTGCTTGCTGTTAACTACCGCATGGCACACGAGTCGGAGACACGGACCTGGCAGAGCTGTGTGACGAGCCGATTGCTGCAGGCAGGACTGGCAGTAGCAGAGCACAGGGTGAAGGCCGGGCTCCTTGTTAATGCATGGTGAATTTTCAGGGTAACTGACACTCTCCCCTTTAAACACCCAAGCCTATTTTCTTCAGAAGATCTTTCCAACTGGACTGTACATCGTCCTGCTATGTGTACTTTAACCTTTCCTTGAGGACTCGGGCCACTGTTATGATTGCCAATGTTTGTAGCCACAGCAGGTCCTCGAGTGGAGTCACGTCGTCCAATGTTATTTTGTTATAACTTTGATGAGGTGCCGTAGGCACTTGACTCTTGTTTATATGTCGTTTCACTTAAAGTCGCAGAACTTATTGACGGCGTCGAGGACTTCACTGTGTTCTAAAATATTAATTCTCAAACCATTAGCTTTCAGTTTCTCAGAGTTCTTCCTATGCATGCTTCCTATACACCGTGGGCTGAGAAACCAGACGACCAACCTCGTCAGAATTCTGTGTGGAGTAAGGTCTACAGGTGCAGAGTGAGGCTAGAACAGTTTCTTTAAGACAAACAGGCCTTAGCTTTTGCACATGGAATTTATGAGATTCAGTTTGGTTGCTCATTTACATGTTTTTGCTTATTTCCTGGTTCATGGTTGTGTATTGAGAGCTGAAGGAATCGGATAGGCACGCTTTATGTCTGATTTACAAGCTGGAATGTGATCGGACTTCCAGGGCAGTATTTCAAAGCTGTCTGGAGTCTTTATTCTGTACTCTGAGGTGGGATGTGGGCCTCTGAATTTTGAAAATGGCATTTGGAACCACCAGCACTTACTGAGCACCTACTGTATGCTCGCATGTGCTGGGCACTATGCACAGGAAAACGTGCGAGCCCAGTCCTCACGCATTACAACATCAAACTGAGTGGACAAGCTGCCGCACAGGAAGCCTCCCTCGCCTGCAGACAGAGAGGGCCGGTAACAGCGGTGCTGTGGCACAGTGAGCACGTCTGCAAGAGCGGCCTGGCGTCAGCAAACCGATCTCTGAGTTCCTACTCCCCGAACCGCCAGCACACTCATATCCTCTCTAAACATCGGTTTCCCCATCTGTAAAATGGGGATAACCCTCTCTCCCTCCCATGGCCGTGATGAGAGAATGCCTGGGAAAGTGCCACGTAAACTGTAAAGTGCTGTCCACACGTGTACAGTGAGACTCCTGCAGGCTGCAGGGAAGACTGACCCACTCCGGGTACTTCCGGCGATGAGGCTTTACTGTAAGGTTGTGCTGGGGAGGTAGGGAGACTGCAGGGGGCTCATCAGACAGAGAGCAGCCCTCCAGGATGACTGGACCCTGGTGCTGGAGCCCTCGGCTGCTTACACCCAACCCAATTATGGACTCTCTGTCTCTTGGCTTCTGATGCCTCCTGGCTCCTGCTTGCTACCTTCTCCTCATGTAGTCCTTACCTTCTGCCCCCTTAACTGTCCTCTGCTTTTCAAGCAACCTGGTGAGAGAGAGCTGGCATGGTGAGCCACTTTTCAATAAAAAGTGAAAAGTGGCTCACCATGCCGGTCCCCACGGGCAGGGTGTTAATGCTGTGCTCCCCCCTCTGTGCCCTTTACGCACATCCAGTCTGTAAACCACTGCTTGCGTGGTAGCCACACCTTGGCCTGGGCTGTTGTAGCTGGAGCTCTGTGCCCAGCAGCACAAGGTTAGGGCCGGCGGGTGTGGTGCCCACGGGGAGGGCAGTGCACACTGTTCACTGCGGAATTTGAGCTGTTGTTATGGAGGGAGGACCTCGTTGAGGCAATTCATCTGGCCAGCAAGCAGCACCTGCCTGTCATGTCTCACGTGCCACTCAGTAGGGGCCAGCCACAGGGCACATTGTGCAATCGGGGAAGGCCACCGTGTCCCAAGTCTCCACGTTCTGCAGGTTTCTCAGGTGGATGACAGTCTTCTCAGTGACCCCTGCTCCAGGCTCTGGCTTCTCTGTGTGTGCCCCCCAGTCCTGTGTCTAGAACCTGTGCACAGGGTGCTGCTTGCAGCATTGGACGTGGTAGAGAAGAGTTAGAACCTGCTTCCGTGTCCAGCAGTGGGGGATTAGTGACCGATATTTGGTAGATTTAAATGACAGAGTGCACATAGGCATGAAGAGTTGCATGATCAAAGGACACTAACGACACGGTGTAACAGTGAGGTGCCAAGTTGGCATTATGTACGTGTGCACGTGAGCGGGTGTGTGTACGTTTACCTACATGTGTCATTTACATAGGGAAGAGACTGGAGGTTTTATGTAAAAAGTGTTAGTAGAGGTTATCTCCGGGCGACATTTTATGAGCAAATTTTGTTTGCTTATTTATGCTCTTCTCTTTTTCTACATTTTCTACAACAAATACATTATTTTTATAGTCAGGAAAAAACCCCATAAATATCATTAAAAAACAAACAACCAACCAAACCCTATCCTCAGAAAAGAAAATTATAACTCATTTCTCTTCCACACACTTGAAGATTCAGTTCCTAAGAGGGGGAACTATATTTTCTGGGAAAATGAAATTTTTCATTAAAGATCTGACACGCAGTCCTGCCTGGTGTGGCTCAGTTCATTGGGTGTCATCCTGTAAAGCCAAAAGTTGCTGGTTCGATTCCCAGTCAGGGCACATGCCTGGGTTGAGGGCCAGGTCCCCTGTTGCGCGTGCGAGAGGCAACCAATTATTGTTTCTCTCTCACATCGATATTTTCCACCCTCTTTAATTCCCTCCCTCTTCCTCTCTCTAAAAGTAAGTAAATGAAAACTTAAAAATAAAAAAAGGTCTGACGTTCTGCCGGCAGAATGCAACCTAATGGGGAGGTATGGAGGGCAGCGGGTGTCCTTCTCGGTGGCCCTCTGGGAAGGCTGTAACAGCAGCCAGAGGTCAGGGAGGTAGGAGTGTCCAGAGTGGACAGAGCCAGGACACTTCCCAGACAGATCACCTTGTCACCAACATATTTAAAAGGAACTGGAGTGAAATGGACATTTATGTTGTCAGTTACAGCACTGACCGAGTTTTTGTTTCCCTTCAGGGAAAATCACTGCCCTCTCTCTCCAAAGGGAAGAGAAGGAGAGAGAAGGAGCCTTAGCAAATGCTATCAAACTGTCACCAGGGATGACCTCTGGGAGTGTGGGGGAGGGGTGAGGTGGGAGGGGAGAGATGAGGGCATTTGCCTTTTACCTTTGCCTTTTATACAGTTAAAAAAAAGAGAGCGTCAGTGGGATGTGGGTTTTTGGTAGTCTTCAATTTTTTTATTGTGAACACAAGATACCTTTGTAATCAGGAGAAAAATGTCATAATGAAAGGACCAACCTGTGGTTGGCTCCTGGGTGGCCATCCCGCTGTTCCCACCTGCAGGCCACCCACCACCCTCACTCTGGGGCCGAATCTTTGGGCTCAAAGCTGCCCACACTTGGCAGGGGATGGGAAACAGGGCCAAGGGCAAGCAGCCTGGGTCCTCCATTCTGCCATCCCGGCCCCTCTGGGCAAACCTGGTCAACTCATTTCGAGTTCATGGTCTTAGCTGTTTCCCCAAGCTTGACCCCATGTGTGCCTCCCTGCCCTCTGCCAGCTGCCAGGCCTCCCTACTTTGCTGGACTCCAGCCTGACCCCTTCTGACCAGCACTTTCCTGGGGCTGGGACTGCCCAGGCATTTCGCTCATGGCTGCTTGGTGCCTGGCTGAGAATTCAAGGCTGCAACTGCCATCTCAGGGAGCTGCGCCTGCAGCTTTCACAGGGACTGTCAGGAGTTTACTCGTCCTTGGAGACAGAGCAAGGCTCACCCTCTCAGTCAGCAGGTGAGCACAGCATGCGATCCACGGAGAGCCCTGGGTGAGAGAGGGTGCCCCGCCCTAACTCCATGAGGCCATCTGCCACAGCATCACAGACGTGGGGTCCTGAGACACCTGTCCATTCGTGCCTCCTGTAAGTGTAATCCCAGCCGTGGGACTCTGAGTGCATCCCTCTGAGCTGCGCCTCCCTGCTCTGTAAAATGGAGATGATAATGACGTTTTCTATCCAGGGACTCCATCAGGAGCAGATAGGTTAATGTAGGTGAAAACGCTTTGTGAGGTGAAAGTGCTCAAATGGTATTTTCTGTGAAAACCCATTCTGGCATTTTGAGAAGTTTTTAAAAAAACCCCAACTAGCTCCCAAGTGTTTGTTAACTCACTAACTACGCGTGCTCAGTGCTCAGCTCAATTCCCCGAGCGAGTCAGGAAATGGAAGGTGCGTGTGGCTTGTCACCAAGGAACTTGGGCTCAACTGGGCAAATGGAGCACTCACATTAAAAGTTCATTTGCTTTCTGTTCAAGATTGGAAGCTTCAACGAGGGAATCCTCCGCCAGCCCTGTGGGCGAGGGGCCGGGCAAGCGCCGACAGTTCCCGCAGAGGTAGACACACCTGAGCACAAACTGGGGCTCTTCCCCTCACCACGTTCCCTGAGAGTGTGAGCCGGTTTCTCTCACTGGGCCTCAGTTTCTCTGGATGTGGAAAGAAAACTGTGATGGCTACCACATTAAATGGCACTGAGAATTATACTTACCTGGCAGGGGAGATACCAGGTGGTTTTCCCAGGGCGAGGCTTGTCCATTGCACTCTGGCTGTGCTGACCCCTGCGATTCCCCCAAATGTGGGAGACTCGACTGCATAATTTGTGTTAGTGGGGGGCTGCATTTGCTTTCTCCCCTGACAAAAAATACAAATAAATAAATAAATAAATAAGTTGTGGTGAGAATTAAAGAAAACAATGCATATCAAGTAACTGCCTTGGACAGTATTATAAATACCTCTAAAGTGAGGAACTCAACAAGGTTCCCCCCTTTTTAAAATTTTTATTTTTAATTATGGTAAAAACCATAAAATTTATCATCTTAACCATTTTTAAGTGTATACAGTTCAGCAGTGTTAAGTATATTCACATTATTATGCAATAAATCTCTATAACATTTTTACCTTGCAAAACTAAAACTCTATACCCATTAAATAGTAATTCCTCATTTCCCCCTCCACCAAGTTCTCAGTCGCCACCATTCTACTTTCTGTTTCTATGAACTTGACCACTTTCGTTACCCCCATAGGTGGAATCATGCAGTAAATTTGTCCTTTTGCGTCTGGCTCACTTCACTTAGCATAATGTCCTCCAGGTTTGTCTATGTTGTAGTGCATAACATGTAGTAGCATCTCCTTCCTTTTTAAGGTTGAGCAATATTCCATTGTATGTATAGGCCATGTTTCATTTATTCATCTTCAGTGGACACTTAGATTGCTTCCACCTCTTAATGGAATTGTAGATAACACTGCAATGAATGTGAGTTTGCAAATATCCCCTTGAGACCCTACTTCTAACATTTTTAAAGATTTTATTTATTTACTTGTAGAGAGAGGAGGAGGGAGGGAGAGAAGAGAAGGGAGGGAGAAACAGAGGGAAAGAAACAGCAATATCCGAGAGAGACATTGACCAGTTGCCTAGTGCACACCCCCAGATGGGGACCTGGCCTGTGACCCAGGCATGTGTCCTTACCAAGAATCGAACCAGCGGTCTTTTGGCTCTCAGGTCAGAGCTCAATCCACTGAGCCACACCAGCCAGGGCTAATTCTTTTGGATATATATCTAGAATGGAGATTGCTGGATCATATAGTAGTTCTATTTTTTAATCTTTTGAGGAACCACCATACTGTTTTCTACTATGTTACAATCTATTTCTTTACATCTATAGTTCCAATTTCTTTACATCTTTGTCAACACTTCTATTTTTGTTTTTGTTTTTGTTTTTTTAAAGAGTAGCCATCTTAATGGGGGTGAGGTAAACAGGGTTTCTTTTTGCAAAACTATTGAAATTTGTTTTCACCACTCCAGTAATCTCCTAATAAGTCTGATTATGGGATTGACACCACATTTGGTCAAAGGAGTGTGTTTCCTCGGTGATTCTCGCAGAGCCCAGCAAAGCTGGCAGGGTGCCAGCGCTGTCGACCTGCTGAGAGCTGGGTGCCCGTGCCCTTCGTCTGCGGAGGGCGCAGGAGCTGTGAAGGCAGGCCAAGTCTGCCACTGTATTTGCTTTGGCAGAAAAGATGCCACCAAAGCAACAAGGCACTCGCCTGGATGGCCAGATTTTCTGTGTGGCCGCTGTCACCCTTCCCAGTGGCCTCTCACCACCGTTATCTTGCTTCTGTCATGTCTCCCCAAGGTTACCTTGGGGGCAGAACTTGTTGGGAAGTTTAAAGCCAGGTCTGTTCGGCTCTATTGAGCAGACTCTGGGGGAAGGGCCTTGAGGCACAGTGGGCGGCAGGTGAGGAGGTGGCCTGCACTGGGTGCTGTGCAGCTAGAGGAGGTCCCTGCACTCGGGAAGCTGGATAGAAAACTCAGGTGCTGCCCAAGAGAAAGAGACAAGCAAGAGAAAATTCCAGATAGGAGGCTCTGCAGAAAAAGAATACTAGACGACTCTTAGGGGTATAGCTGAGCAGGGCTTGCAGCGTTTCCCAAAAAGAGACTGCGTTGTAAAGTCAGGAGACCCAGGGTCAAACCCGACCAGGCTGCACCACTGTGTGGTCTTGGGCAAGCTGTGGAAACTCTCTGAGCCTCACTTTCCTTACCTGTGAAATGGGAACAGAAATTCACACTCAGTAAACTGTTGTGATTAGTATTGTTTATCAAACAGCTCTTGTTTGTGTAGCACCCCTTATAAGCACGCAGACCTTGGTTAAAAACCTAGATCTGCTCCTTATTAACTGTGGGACCCAGACCAGCTGCTAACCTCCCTGGGCCTCAGTCCTCTCACCTTTAACACGGGGATGATAAATAGGAACGATAATGCCCATCTCCCCAGGCTGATGCAGGTGTTGATGAAGTATCACACAGTGCTTTCGTGCAACAAATGTTCGTGACATGCCTACTATGTGCCAGCACTCTGCTGGGGGCTGGAGATCAAGGATGAATTAGACTAGCCCTGCCTTCAGGAAGGCATCTTTAGTGGTAACAAAACAGCTCATTTTAATACTGAGATGGGGAAGGCTGGAGAGCAGGGCTGTCCGCAGAGTAAATGCCTTTACATAGAGTAAAAGCAGCTGTGATTCAAGCATGGCGGAGCTGATGGGGAGCGGGCATCGCTTGGTTCCAGCCCTCTCCTGATGCCTGCCCTGTGTTTCTGGACTCCTGCATGGCTCTTTGGCCTCAGAGGAGCCCTGCATTCTGTCAGTTCCTTCTTCCCAGTGCAGATGGGAGGGGTGTCCTCAGGCTTTGAACCCATCTTGGTGCCTCCAGGCCAGAGAAGAGTCTCCACACAGCTCGTGAGTGGACAGGTCTCTGGTTTCACAACAGGAATGATGGTGCCGTCGGTGTGAGGGCAGCCATTGGTGGCCAGGGTGGCCTGTGGCTCTGGAAGAACGCTGGCCTGGCGTCTTGGGGCCGGGAGGGAGGGTGGTTTTCCTGCCCAAAAGGTCTCCCAAGAGACCCACTGCTGACTCTCCATCCCTCATTCTCCCTGGGAGAGTGTCCTGGGCACACTTTTCCTGACTCCTACCCAGCTGAGCGCTCACAGGAGCAGGCACACTGGTGGGGGCTGCTTTCAGCCACCCCGCCACCCCAGTCGGTCCAGCGTGTGCCTGCTGCCTGTGTGCGGCACATTTCTCTCTGTTCAGCTCCCAGCCTCCTAGCCCCAGGAGTGACCCTGCTCCTGTCACCGGAGGCATGTGGGAGACCGACAGGGCAGGGGTGGCCGAGATGGTCTCTTGTCAAAGTAGTCAGAGCAGGAGAGCATAAAAGCTGGGCTGGGTGCCCTGGCTGAGCCCAAAGAACGCAGGACTGGCACATGGTGGTGTGGCTGGCCCCAGCGGCAGTCCCGCAGAGGGGCTGCCTGGGCCAGCTCTTCTTCCCGCATGCAGAGGGAGGCTCGTGAACCAGCCACCCAGTGTCTCCTCCTCCTCCAAGCCTGTCACCGTTTCCACACACACAGCAGGGTCTGTGGGGGTGGAGGCTTTTTCCAGACATGTATTTAAGTGAGGAGAGAAAACAAGGCGAGTCGCCCAGGATTTGCCAAATCAGTAGGCAGGAACGCAACCCAGGAAGGAGGCCAAAAATAAGACGCCAGCGAGGGTCACCCTCTTCTCCTGAGCAACAGCCTGCACTGAACACACTATAATCACACTTTTGTTGGAGTCTGACCCTTGATCCCAGGGCATCGGTCTCCTGGTCAGAAGGTAGCAGAGCCCTGCCTGTGGGCAGTGAGCAATGGTGAGTCAGGGAAATCGCAAGGACACAGGGAACACCCCCGAGTCACCGGGGACAGGCCCTGCTTCCCCCTGCTGGTCAGGGAGCCAGGAGTTCTGGCCCCACCGAAGAGGAGGAATTTCTCAAGAACTGTGGCAAAATTCAACGGGATCTTTCAGAGGAAGCAGTAGGCTTTGGATTTTTTTGGGGGGGGAAAATTGTTCAGATTTTTTCACCTTTATATCTATTTATGAATTAGTTCCTTTTCTCCTTTAGCTCCAAAGTATATTTATCTCTGTATTCTTTTGGGGGCATTTGTTACCTCATGCTCCAAAGAGCAAATAATGACAGTAATAACAGGGCTGACATTTATTCAGTCCTCACAACATGCCAGGTACTGGCTTCCCCACAGATTTGTGTCTCCTCCAATCTAAGGCTCCACTAGCCTTCAGGTACACCATGATTTATGTGCCGCTGATGAATGCACGACATGTTGTTGGCTTTAAGGCTCACCTGATTTCAGAACTGTCAAAAAGGGAATCTTAGAATCAATAAAACGCAGTAACTAATGCTCAGTTGCCATCGTGCCCCACAGAGGGGCACACCGAGGAACAGAGAGGCTGAGCACATCCATCCCGATGTCGCGCAGCAAGTACGTGGTGGAAAGGGGATCGAACCCAGAGCTGGGCTCCGAAGCCTGTGCCATCTTGTGTGAGTGAGTGACATCTGTTCATGGGCAGGGCACAGGGAAGGACACACAGTGAAGAGGGAGAGTGGGACCTCCCCCTCCACTCCCTCCTCCCCCCCAGGCCCAATGTTGAAACCTGCTCTTGCTGCTGCACTCACTCCCAGCAGCGGGCACCCTGGGTCTGTGCTGCCTCACGTCTCTCTTGCCCCTGCTTGGACTATTGCAGCAGCCTCTTAGCTGTCACCCTCCTCCAGCCGCCCCCCACCAACACACATGGAATGAGGGTCATCTTCCCAAAATGTGAATCTGATTGTTTGACTCTGTTCCAAACCCTCTGAGGTGTCCAAACCCTAGCAAGCATTTGTTCATTCACTTGGCCATGTCAGCCCCTGCTCTGTGCCAGCTTCTGAGGGTACAAAGGTGACGAAGCCCGATGTGGTCCACGGCCATGGTCTCCTGCGGAAGCGAGGCCCTCAGTGGGCACGTGTGATCCAGTGTGAAAATGCCTCAATGGGACACGCTGGGCCCATGCGGGGAGCCCCTGATCTGCAAACTCAGAGACCACTTTGTGCAGGATGAGCGGGGATTCACCAGGCAAAGAACAGCAGGAATTCCCAGGCAGAGGGAAGAGAGATTGGAGGAGAGTATCAGATCTGTCCCTGATGAATCTGGAAGGACAGGCTTGGGGGAGGGAGACAGCTGGACAAAACTCTCACTGGTCCCTCCTTCCTTTTTCAGCCTCTACTCCCCTTTCCCCACCTCTTTCCCCCCTTCTTTTTACAACATCCCTGTGCAGTAGGTAGGTACCCGTTTCCCCAGCAGGCACCTTCCCCCTCAGGCATCCTCCACAGGCAGCAACCCTCCGCTCCGCAAACTCATCCTTCCAGACCCTCCCCCATGAGAACACCCCTGACCCGAGACTTATCTCCCTGAGCTCTGAGCCAGGCAGAAGCCTGGGGACCTTGTCTCAGTTTCCACATGGGGTCTGGGGAGTATTCTGACAAAATTCAGCTGAGTAAAAGCCAAAGTTCTTACAAAGGCCTTTATGCCCCTGCATGGTCTAGACCACCCCTGCCTCTTCGACCCTACCTTCCACTGCTCTCCCCTTCGCCAGGACGGCTGCTGCACTACCGGTCCCCTTGCTGGTTCTTAGATACCTGTCCTCTGCATTCCTACCCCAGGTCCTTTGCACTTGCTGTTCCTGGTACACATTTTCCCTCCCTTTTTTGTGCAGCTCCCTTATTCGTCTTCATCTTCATCAGATTCTGCTCCAGTATCTCCTTGGAGAGGTCTACCCAGACACCCTATTTAAAATTGCAACCGATTAGCCCTGACTGCGTAGCTGAGCTGGTTTCAGCATCGTCCCAATACCCCAAAGTTTCAGGTTCGATCTCTGGTTAGGGCACGTACAAGAAGCAACCAATGAGTGCATACATAAGTGGAACAGCAAATCCATGTTTCTCTCTCTCGCTCCCTTACTTTCTCTCTCTCAAATCAATTAAAATAAAATAAATAAATAAAAATAAAATAAAAACCCTCATCTCACACTTTTTATTGCTTTATTTTTCCTCATCGCACTCACCTTCTTCAAGAGCCTCTGACTCCCTTACTTGTTTCCCGTCTGTCTTTCCCCACGAGGATGTCTGTCCCCACACTGTAGGGTCTGGGTCCGCCTGGGTCATCTCCCTGCGCCCCCAGCACCTAGCACAGCACCTGACACACGACAGGTGCTCAATCACGCTTGTTGGCTGAATGAATGAATTCTGAGTTCTGACTGTGTCTGGCAGGCTCTGCCCCGGAGCCCGGGAGGGCGGAGGGCTGAAGAAAAGGAGTCTTGGCCGCTCCAGGGGGCCGGCGGAGCTGGTTCTGGAGGGCAGTGGGGCAGGCCCCTGACAGTCAGGTGAGTCCTGGGTGAATCACTGCTAATGAGACGGTGAGGGCCACGCCAAGCTGCTTCCCACACAGGCGGCCGGCAGGTCACTGCCTGTCGCCGAGAAACTCGTCAGTAGGGATTGAACGGGACCCTGGGCTGGGGCAGGAGGAAGTGCCTGCCTCCCCTTACGGCCCCACCCATTCCTGAGGACTGAGTCGGCTCACCTGGGTGCCCCCACCCCCAGGTCTTGGCAAGATGCTGGTTTCTCAGCCTTGGCTCTGAGAAGAGTTCCTTCCTAAAAGGAGTTTCGCTCGATGCGTCCCACACCCCTCCCGGGCTGGGCCTGCTTGTCAGCTGGCCCTGTCTGGGTCACCGAGCCTGCGGAGGGCAGGCAGCCGGGCCTGGCAAACCCCGACAGCCCTGGGCAGCCCTAGGGAGAGTCGGTTGGCCAGTCTGGTCGGTTGACCAGAGTTTATTAAGTGTGAGGATAGGATCAATGGCTTGTTTGTTTGTTTGTTTGTTTGTTTTTCATCCTCACCTGAGGACATGCTTCTTGATTTTATAGAGAGAGGGGGAGGGAGGGAGAAAGAGAGGGAGAGAAACATGGATGTGAAAGAGGAACATCGATTTGTTGTCTTTCATAGGCACCCCAACTGGGGATTGAACCTGCAACCCAGGCATTCCTGACTGGGAATCAAACCTGTGACCTTTTGGTTTGTGGGATGACACCCAAACAACTGGGCCATACTGGCCAGGGAGGATTAGTGGGGCTTTTAAGGCCTAACTGGACAGTATGAAGTGGCCTTCAGGACCACACTCCACCTGCCCCACTGGGGCCTCGGGCCCACCACAGCACCGTCAGGACAGGCGTCAATTTCTGTGAGTCTCCATTTCCTCACCGGCAGGGTGCTGCAAAGCCTCCTGCCCCCGGGGCAACTACGGGGCTGGGATGAGATCATGGGTAGACACAGCAAGGAATGCAGGTGGGTAGCCAGGCCTCCACCCGCAGCCCAGAAGACATGGCTGATGCAGCCGACGTCGGGGAGGAAGCTGGCAGGTGCTGTCCCAGAGTGAACGCAGCCGGTCCTTCATTTCTCCCTCCCTGTGCCTCAGGTCAGTGCCCTCAAGCCCCCCACAGGCCCTTCTGCCCCAGAACCCAAAGAGCCCCTAACTGTGTTGCCTTATTCCAGCCCTCTGTCCCTCTCTGAATTCCCCACCCTTATTTATTCGTACCATAGTAACCATCTACAGCTTTTAACAAATAGATTTGTTTATCAGTCATCAGGTGTCCAAGGGGCACTGCCCAGCTGCCAGGCACAGATCCCGATGGATGGATGCAGTGATGATGAGGCCTAACCTCTGATTCGAGGACGCACAGTCTAGGGGTGCTCAGAGAAGGGAGTGGGGGTGGGTGAGGGTGAGTTTTGGGTAGAGCCTCGTGCAGAAGCTGCAGCTTGAGCAGAGTTGTCTTTGTGCTTTGCTGACATATTTGTCATTTAATCCTCACGAGAGCCCTGCAATGCTAGCAGCACAGGTATCATCATGCCCATTTTATAGATGACAAAACCAAGGTTCAGGAGGCAGGAGTGTACCTGGACGATCTGAGGAGGGCTGGGAAGCTGAGTAGGTGAGGGAGGGAGTGGTAGAGAGTGGGATCAGGAAGGTAATGGCAGGGGTGGGGCATGTGTCCTAACGGCCTTGCCAGTCAGTGAAGCCTTTCCCCCCACCCCACCCCACCCCAGTGGGATGGGAGCCATCAGAGGGTTTTGAGCTGGGGACTAACTTCACCTGTGTTTAAAAAAGACTCTCTCTGGCTACCGTGGAGAACAGACTGGCATGGGGTAAGGAATGGGAGAGGCAGGGAGATGAGGAGGGGCTGCTGAGTCTCCCAAGCAGAGATGGGCCAGGCTGGTGCTGGAGGAGTGGTCACGTCTGAGATGTGTTTGCAGGGAGCCCAGCAGCATTGGAAGGCAGACTGGACAGGAGTCATGAGGGAAAGCGAGGGGTCAAGATGACCTTGGCTGCGAGAACGAGGGCAGCTCTGCTCAGGTCACATCCAGCCTGGAGAGCGGCAGGGGCACGACTGCCCAGGGATGCGAGGCGCTCGGAGAGTGCCGGCCGCCCTGCCGTCCAGTCCATGCTGCCTCCGCCTCCTGGTTCATCCCAAATGTCACGAACTGGGCCCGGCAGCGGCTGGGACCTCTCCGCCCTGGGTGGGACTCTGAACCACACGGCTTTTTCGGGAAGCACTTTGTTCATATGTATGGAGTCTTTTTAAAATAAATATCTCTGCAGTCTTTATTCTGTCCCATTGATCAACATGTCTGTCCTCATACCATTATCACACTTTCTTCGTCACTGTTTTTGGTAGTACATTTTGAAATAAGGTAATGTGAATCCTTCAATTTTTTTATGTTGGCTATTCTAGGTCTTTTGCATTTTCACATACATTTTAGGATTTAAAAAATCAAACATTTTTTCAGTTACAGTTAACATAATATTATATTCGTTTCAGGTGTACAACATAGTAGTTAGACATTTATATACCTTAGGAAGTGATCGCCCTGATAAGTCTAGTACCCATCTGACACCATCCATATTAACTTGCTAATTTCTACAAAAACAGTCCTGTTTGAATTTTGATTAAGAATTGTGTTTAAATCTATCGATCAATTTAGATACAATTACCACTTAAAAATACTGAGTTTTCCAATCTATGAACACGGTACGTTTTTTTCATTTATTCAGTTCCCTTAAAAACATTGTTCTGAAGTTCTCCGTGTATGGATCTTACACTTTTTGTTACTATTTCCCTAAGTGTTTACTTTTTATATCCTTTGACCCAGTGAGTCTCTGTCTAAGAAGCTCCCCTGGGGAAGTCACCTGAAATGCAGACGGGCCTTCCTGCATCGAGACCCGCTGTGTAGTCATGGCCGGTTGGCTCATCTGTTTGGAGCATAGTCTCATATGCCAAAAGGTTTTGGGTTCGATTCCTAGTCAGTGCACATGCTTAAGTTTCAGCTTTGTTCCCTGGCTTAGGTGCATGCAGGAGGCACCTGGTCAATGTTTCTCTCTCACATTGATCTTTCTCTCTCTCTCTCTCTCTCTCCCTTCCTCTCTCTTTAAAATCAATAAACATAGCCCTGACTGGGCGTGGCTCAGTGAACTGAGTGCTGGCATGAAGGGTCACCGGTTCGATTCCCAGTCAGGGCACGCACCTGGGTTGCAGGCCGGGCCCCCAGTTGGGGGAGTGTGAGAGGCAACTACACACTGATGTTTCTCTCCCTCTCTCCTCTCTCTAAAAATAAATAAATAAAATCTTTAAAATAAAAAGAAAAAGACCTTCATTTAGCAGTCACACTACCCCCAAATCTATGTGCATCCTCAGAGTTTTAATGTCAAAGGACAACACGCATGCTACCATGTCAAGTGGATGCAATATTGCACAGGAGACACGTACACGAGGGAAGAAACAGACAGTGATTACCTCCGAGGGCCTGACTCTTGGATTGCTATTTTTATTTTCGTCTTTATACTTTGATGCGTGGTATTAATGCTTTAAGATGAATGTGCATTACCCTTACGATAATTTGATTAAAAAAAAGAAAGAGAAAGTAAATGTGAGTTCCCAGAAGCTGAGGAAGCACAGCAGAGGCCAAGCCAGAAAGGAAAACCAGAGACCCATCCCTTCCAGGGAAAGGCAGCGGCCACGTGGAGGGAGGCAGGCCTGGTGCCCTGCCAGCCAGCGCTGGGCTGGGCTCACCTCCTCCCCCAGGGCTGCCCAGGGGGCAGGGCTGAAAGTTCTAGCGGGAGAGAGCTGAGGCCCCTCTTTCTCCTCAGGCCACGGGAGGGGGGGTGTACCCCTCCTTGGGCCTCCACAGCCCTCAGTGTCTACCCTCCACTGCCTCTGCTTCCATTACATCTCCTGGGAAGCCTGCTCCTTTTGTGCCGGGTGTTTAACCTTGTGTGTCTCCCCTGATGACTGACTATAAGCATCCCATAACCAGCGGTTTTCTGAGCGTGGTCCCCAGGCAGCATCAGCACCAGGGGAACTTGGTAGAAATGCAAATTCACAGACCTCCACCCCCGGAATCTGAAATTCTGGAGGTGGGACCCAGCAATCTGTCTTTTAATGAATCCTCCAGGGCTACAGTTTGAGGACCACTGCCCTAGGGTACAGCCTTACTGTGGTCCATGTTGGACATGGTTGTTTCTTTTTACAGATTGCATGACCCCTGTGTGATAGACATAGAAATGAGCTCAGAGAGGTTAAGGGATTTGCTCAGGGTCACACAGCCGGGCAGAGGCAGAGCTGGAACTCTGAGCACATGCTTTTGTTTTAACTCCTGTGCTTTACAGCTGCCTGGACATCAAGGTCTCCTGTGGCCTCCAGTTGGGGGTGAGCATAGGGAGTGCCATGGACACAGGGTGAACTGAGGTCTGGGTGCTGTGGGGTCAGTGCCCTGGCTGCTCAGTCGGAAAAGCAGACTGATTCCCTATGAGACCCAGGGAGCCCCATCCCTCTGTGGGCGGGAGGCAAGCTCTGTGTGCTGGCGGACCCTCCAGTGATGACAGCAGTCCATCAGGATGGACAAATACCACAGAGGAGGGGTGCAGCGCCACCTGCTGTCCAAAATTGTCAGTGATGCTGGTGGGTAAACACAGGCACCCACAGACACATCTCAGAACACCATGGCAGCCTTGCACGTGTCTCCTCCCACTGCACATGGGCCTACACATCCACACGTGGATGTCTGGGCCTGTGGACACGTGGGGCTCTTGGCCACACCGCCTGGCAGATGGAACTAAATTCACTCATTCTCTCATCAATGTTCATTAAGATATGTCAAGCCCACAGTTGCTGCCCCTGGGGGACCTAAATGCCGAGTGATGGTCAGGAGACTAG